ACAAATCATGACAATGACAAACTAAACTCTGGGACCACTGCACCAATTTGAGAAATTGTTCCACCGTTCAAAAAGTGCATTATTCCAGAGTGTCACAGTTTATACATATGCCATATAGGTACACAAAGCTTGGGAAACTATGAGCACTTGTCCATTAATTGGTTGATAACACCTATTAGTTTTCCCAAAAGACAAAAATAATATCTGTTAAAAGAATACGCTACTTCCAAGCCCAGAATATGGGACAGTAAATTTTTATCTGATTTTATATATCATCAAGTGCTGAGTTCACGTTAATATAATTTGGATGTTCTCTTTTAGAATGTCAATGAAGATTACTGTTTTATCTCCTTAAATAAACGTAAAATAACATTTATAATCCAATCCGAATTTGTATATATTTTTTAAGTAAATTAAGTCACGATTAAAAAATTTTTGTTTAAATTTTTAATATCTAAGTTTTCTAATTCATAATAATGTGGTAAGAATAAAAGTAAAAATTTATTTTCAATTTTACGTTAAGTGTCAAATAATCTTTAACAAATACTTTAAACGAACCGGTTACTATTACCGAATATATGTCTATTTTATATAGGTGTATAAAGAATAAGTAAAGTAGAAGAAAAAAAAAACTTTGTTAGTATATTTCTTTATTAATATCATAATTCTATTATATATTCGATCTATGATTAAATAAATATAAACATAAACAATTCTCAAAGCAAAACAGTTGTGAATTGGTGATGATATCGCATATCATACACAAAAAATACGGAAGAACGAGAACTTCTCACATGGGCGGTACGAAAATGATTTGTGTATGTCCTGTAGGATTGATAATTTATATGAGGTCAAGTTGTTTTCATTAGTATACACATGTACAGTCAGACAAAGCTGAAATGAATTTGCCAAACTTGTTAGTAATGCAATAATTAAATTAGATGTTTACTTTGTATATATTTTAACATTTAATTTTTATACCGAATTATTATGTATGTTAGTGCCCGAATATCGCAAACTACTTTTGGATGTTTATTTTAATTTTCTATTTTATATGTTATTTTTTGAACAGATATTATGGTAGATATACTTTCCATGGTTGGTTGACTTTATAAAATATCGTTGATTTCTACGTGTTTTCATCATTTTGAGAGTCTTACAGTCTACTAACCTATTACAATGACTCTCTATGAAATTATTTATTCTTTATTCCATTCATAGTTTTTAATTATGGTTGATACCTTTATTTATAAATATAACAAATTTACATCCCACTAAATATACTAGTCATTGCTAGAGGCTAAATTTGCCTTTTTTTTGAGTAAAAAATTCAAAATATGTTCGCTTACAAATATGAAAAAAAATCATCAGGAATTTAAAGCCAGCTATAAAATAAAAAATAAAAACGTATTTTTTATTTAAAGTACCTCATATTATTAAGCCTGGAATGTATGTTTTGCAGACCATATGCACAGGCTGGGTGGCGAACTGGCAAATGAGTTCATTGTTTGTCCTGAAGTGTTTTTGTGTCTACACATGTTGTAGGAACTCTGATGAATATTATACAAACAATCTAGGCACGTATACTATGTTATAAGTATACATATAGGTCAATGTTAACACAATACCTACTTGCCCTGGAGTCTGCAAGGCTGAACTAGTATAAATATTGTCATGATCTGATTATTTTATACATCAAAGAAACTAAACAAACAGCATTAGGTATTGCGAATTTTGGCGCATATTTTTAAATTTATATATATCAGTTATTATTATTTCTAATGGTATTCCAGAGATGCTAGTTTCAATCAGGCATTGTACTTCACGTTTTTTAATTCGATGGGTTTGACTTCCACACAATATAAACAGTTCAAGAAGATCTCTTAAAAATATTTCAGTATGTCTATCAGTTGTCTAGTCAATTCCAAAATATATGCTCTGTTTAGTTTAGGGCTATATAGTGTATATGAAACAGGACTATTTACTTATACCATAGATAATATAATATTACACCTTATACTAATCGAGGTAATGATGATATGTCCCCTACTTCTGCATTAATAATATGAGACGTAATATTTGTTGTGCATACAGTTAATCTGATGAAAGCACATGATCACCGAGTCATACGATATATATCTGTGACAAAAATGTATGACTTTGTACAAATAATTATTTGTAACAGAAGCACATGATCAGATCCCTTTGTGTGAATATTTGTCTGACTGATAAGTGTGACAGGAGTGAGTATTGTTTTATAAATAAACAAAATTATATCTCTTTATCAATATTTTAGATGGATGTCTCCAAAGATAAGGTAGCGGGGGCAAGACTGGCAATATGCGATAGATCTATTATATGTATATATTATGATCAAGTAGAGGGTGTGGTATCTGAGCAAAGAGTGATCTTCGAAATCATTCTATCATTATTACCTTAGCTTCTACCTGGCTAGCTGTGATATATGTGTAGAGTAAGATTATAACCATAGGGATTGAGAAAACCTATATCTAATTGATACCGGATGTAGGTCTTTTCAATATGTTTTTATGTTTATATGTTCAATATCAAGTAATGATGAATTAAAAAGAATTGCTGAAGATCGTGCCCAGTGGTGTGTTTGAAGAAACGCCTATGTCTAACACTGGATTACCGTGGGATGATGATGATGGTGATGGTAATATGCGATTCTTCGCTTTTCAAACCAGGCGATAGTTAAGGTACTGGCTAGTTTAGTATCGAATATTTGTAATTCATTTCAATGCGAAGTTTTTTATACATATACTGTTTCTTAATGGATTATAATTGAAAGGTGATTTTAACAGCGCAAATGCTAATGTTATAACGCTAGCTGGCACTAATTAGGGTTAAAATCGGGTTATTATAATTTTAGACGACAATGACTAGAACTCATTATAGTAATTACTCGTATCTTCTAAAATTGTAGGCACCAGTATATATAGTAGATTTTATATGTATCTAATGTGTTCTCTTATACAAAGTAATAAATTGAATAGTAAGCCATTAACATTACTTTACTACCGACTGCAGTATGAATTCACTAGATGTTTGCGCCTTTGTTATTTATCTTTATAATTGACAGACTAAATAAGAGTATTAAAGATTATGAAGAAAATGAAAACATGAATATGAGAATAATGAAAAATTTCATATCTTTATCATCTAAATAGTATGTAACTTTATAAGGTTTTGTAAGTTGGAAGCGCGCAAGAGAAATTATGTAACTACCTCTAGACAAGTAAAATATCTCTTACTTTCATAAATCATTGGTCAATTGTTCTGTGTATCTATATAAAGCTATTGTCAGATTGATATTTGAAAAATAAAGAAATAGATTTATACATTTCAACCGACGGTCGAAAGGAAGTTTATACGGTTATATGGTTTTTTTTTATATGGCGTTTTATTACTAAATTTAATCGGTTAATAATCTGTACTACACACGAAAGTGCATTTATGTTATATGCTAAAAATAAACGATTTATTATAGGTGAAACACACATGTATTTTAGTGTACAATGTATTTGATAGCTCATATAACTACATACATGCAGAATATATGTATATTCTGCATATAAATCTTTTGAAAGAATTTTTCGAAATGGTAGGTACGACTTCACTTTGTAATATTTAAGATTTTGTATATATTGTGCGTTTACTCTGTGAAATCAATGAATTGATTGTTGTAAAAGTCTGATTACTGTTGTTATTTTGATTTTCAGGATTATTTCCCATTGCCTTTGCAGTTATTACGGTGTTTGTCAATATATTACTATTACTTAAGGGATTTATAATATTTTGTTTAATTTTTGGTATAGATTCAATAAGCGTCGGAATTTGAGCACCAATAGAATGTTTTCAGTGGCAGTGGGTAGGTTTCACATTGAATATTTGTGGTTTCAAACACACACATCTTATCGGAAGTAAACAAAATAATACAACGACAAACATTTGTATTCTTGAGTATGATTGTTTGTATCGGTCTGGGTGTTTCCTAATGATAATTTATTTAAAAAAATGTATCAAAATGATATATTTTGTTATTTGGCGCTGTGTGAATTGTCGATAATTAAATTTCGATAAAAAAATAAGGAATATCACACAAATAGTCTGCGCATAAAATATCAACTCTGATGTTCTACTTTCTGTCTACAACCAGCGGATTATTTTACAAAATCCTGTCTTTTCTCGCAAGTATCACTAAATTACTGATTCAGGATAGTGCGTGAGACGTGGATGCTTAGGGGAATGCAACGGAAGGCTCTTTACGAGGATATTGGTCTCGTAACGTCGAGAGGTAAGCCTGATATGTGACAAGTAGGATTCTGTATTTGCAAACATGGTGTTTCTGTAGTATAAGAGCTAGTGTTCGCGACATAAAATTATTGTGTTCATTATAAAATTCCAATACAATAGAGGACACTGAATAGTCAATATTGGAGGTCTGAATTATTAACGAATTTTAAACAGTGGAAACCTGGATTTGATCGCAGTTTTAATAAAGAAATTAAGATTTTTTTATATGAAAATTACGTACTTGTAAACCAAAATTTGAAATATTTTTATTTTTACTCTAATTATTACTACTCTAAACCTTTAAGTTTTGTTACAAGTTGTACCTGTTGTATTACAAATATAATAGGAAAATATTAGCCACATATATGTAGCCATTTAAAAGTAATGATCTTACTTAACTAACTTAATCGCAACTTATACAAAATTACTTTTATAAAAAAATAACTAGCTTCAGGTCTAAGAAGACAAACGAACAACTAAGTTCGCGGTTCACGACAAAATTATTATATATACAGTAGTCACACCAAATACTTATTAGTGTGCGGGCAATTGCGGTTACTGTGCTCATTACGTTAAAGTTGGAAAAAGTTGTTTCAAGTCGTAAATCCTCGGTCTATTTCGTATACATTTGTTATCCTCAACTAGTTTCAGTACAATCAGCAGAATAGTTCAGTTATATGGCCATGCCACCTGAAGTGATGCAGAGTTCCGTAAACATAATTAATAATTCCCTCAAAGTGATCACGACAGGTCCTAATGGCGGACTCATCAATACCTTGATAACTGACGACGTAAACAAAACTTGCCCGAATGAATTGAATGTTGAAACTGCTAGCGGTGGAAATGCCGTTGTTGATAAATTACCTGTTAATGAAGGAGCCATAGTTGAGAAGAAAATGCCACGGAAAGTAATAAGACCTAAAGTATTAAAGAATTATGAATCTGGACAATACATGTATGATCGACTATACGATGTGCCGTGTCCAGGAATGGTAAGTAAGGGCCTTCAAAATGGAAGTCAAAGTCAAAAGAATTTATTTATAATGAACTAGTTTTTGATGTTACTGGAATGCCATACAAATTACCAGTTGACCTAATGGTAAGCAATAACCGTCGCCTACATTCTTAGGCACAGTATTTATTTTATTATTTTTTATTCCGTCTAGTTTGTCCAGTGGCTCCAGTTGAAAACTGACAGGAAACTCAATTAGTACAAAAAGAAACTTGAGCAAAGATACAGGTTTTTATCAATATGTTTTGAAAATATAAATTTTACGCATCTGACTAAAATATATAAAATGGTATATTGTCATAGTACAGTATAGTGTATTGTACATTCGAACGAATTCGAACATTCGAAACAGAAACTGACGTATTTCAAAATGTATAAACTATATTATTCATGAAATTCAGTTCCGCATATGAATTTGATGATAGTCGATTACGACATTTCGATTTGCTTAGCGATATTGTGACAATAAATTAAATGTTTACGAATAGACAATACTCGAACAAAATTAATGAAAACAAACAAATATAGTTAGATAAGGAGTTTGTCTATTCAGTGAAGCACGCGCTCTGTAAGTAAATAGAGAACAAATTGCGAATACATTTGGATAAGGCAAAAATTAATTTATATTTATTAAAATAATGAAAGAATGGTAAATAATCTGTTCAAATTATACGTATAATAAAACTGTAACTAATAGCTGTCTGCACATTACAGATATATGTTTATAACTATTATTGGGGGCTTTATCAACATAATAAAACTTACTACAAATATTGATAGAATTTTTATTTGTATATCTTTACCTTTTTGCGCGTTAATCTCAGAAACGGCTTAACTGACTTGGTCTACTAATATATTGTGTTAAATTACATTTTAAGTTGTGTTTGTTTTATTGGAATCAGTTTATAAAAAAAAAATATGAACTCGAATATCACATCGAACGGTATTATAGTATTTTATCCGTTTTGTCTATTATATACCTACATATAAATATGTAAATGTACTTCAAATAAACAGGTTTCTTTCTTATGTCTAATCAATAGAAATACAAATAGGATCAATTTTTATTCATAAAAACTCAATATAAGTAGTTTTCAATAATCATATTTTATTCCTCTACTACTCATTTGAAAAGCAGAGTCGTTACAAAAAGATGGGCAAAATACTTGCGTGCTGCTCTTTTAAATGCATTTTTAAGGACAGTATTACATTTTTAAAATTCTGTGTGAGAATGCATACTGTCAAATAGCAAAATAAATAAGAATAAATAAATAGTTGAATGAGTAACACAATAAATCCGTCGTAGTTACCATACAAGTACAGTACATACAATACAGTAGTCCCTACAAGCAAATTTATCTTTTGATACGTGGTGCAGGTATATATCGTACTTTTATAAAACAAAAGAAACATCAAACCAAGAATTCTAGGAATGAATAGTAGCTGTCCTAAGACTTAATATCATAATATTTTTTTTTCTGAAACTAAACCACTCTGTAATACATATTACTTAATGGATATATAATGATGGCAAACTAGACGAAGTAACATCTGGACGAACAATCGAGAATAAGTTTTCTGGATTGTAGACGTCATAAAATGAGATTGCCAAATAAAAAAGTTCGTTTTGTGGAGATATTGTGAGATTTTAATTAATCTTTTGAATATGTGACACGGTATCATTAACAGGATGATACGAAAGCTTTATTTTTAAAATCTTCATATGAATTGCACGGTCAAAGGCAAATTCTAAATTAAATCTATTTAGTATAAAAACTTTGAAGTCTATTTTTTTTTATTTCTAATTTATTTCTTGTAAAAAAAATATTAATTTTCATAAGTATTAGACGTGGCTTTAGACTTTAGTAACCTGACCGACTAACTCTTACTATTAACATAAGCGACAAATAACACATTCCGCTAAATAGGTCTTTGCTATTCTAATTATATAAAAAAAGTTTTAAATGTATTATTATTTATGAATCTGTATCAGGCAAGGCTATGGTTCGCACATCTATGTTTACAGGCCAGCACAGATTACACATAGTAGCGTGACGGTGTTTCTGATTTTATTATCCGACTATTTGGCGTGTCTCAAACATAACCGTTGTTTACATAGACGCAACTAAAGTAAATTATTTTAATTGTTAAATGAGCCGCAAGTCAATGGCGTGAAATGCGCAATATACCTACTGTTCATACAAATCAAAAATAATATATATTTAAAATTAGAATTTTTAATTATGACTTTGTGCTCTGCTAATATTATTATGTTAATAAGTAATTGGGCAATTATTATTATTTTAATGTTACTGTGGGGACTACAACAAATAAAATAATATATATTTGTATTGAATAAAATTCGTTTTTCTGTGTGATTTTTCATATACCAGTTAATGGCATGATTGTTAAATTTAAATATAAATACATAGGTTATTTCTATATCTTATCAATATACCACATAAACTACCATAATATAATTGCTAAATTTCAACGCAATCAGTTCATTATAATCAAAAGTAGTTTATTTACTGACAAACACAAACAGATAATATAGCGTATACTATATTACAAATATTTTCTAAAAGCATTTATTTTATTATAAATTAATATAAATATTGTTGAGAATGTATGTATATAATATGTGAATATTTATATTCAGTAATACTTGATATAATGTAACATACTCTCGTGAACTTACTAGAAGGAGTGCCTCAGGGCGCGTTCTAGTTGTTAGGCCCCCAACTTTCTGTGCAGTGTGAAACCAAGATAGTGTAGTTTACAATTCAATATTTACTGAAGTATTTTCTTTTGAAATAAAATAAATACTTTATAATATAAAGTAGAAAGAGAACGAAAGCATCTTAAATTAAGATATATACATATATATTTATAATGAATGCGTTTGATTTATTCGTTTACTACCTTACTGCGGTGAAAAGTATGTGTAATACTTTTCACTTAGAAGTTCATTCATTTCAGATCAGTTTTTTAGTAAATATTATGGCAATGCAACGCTGTAAAGACTTTTCAAGCCAATCAATGGACTATTTTTCAAGTTTGCGAGAAGCAACATACACGGCCACTCAATTTCTATATATACTAGTACATAAACTGACACTTAGAATATATGTACACTTAAGGTTTTAGCAAATAAATTTTCGTTCTATGCTTTCTAAGCTTCAACTGCATGGGAAGTATGATAACTTAATATTTTGAATTAACTTTTTTATATTTAGAAAGTCAATCTAGTGAAATAAAAAAAAATATATATATAAATCTTTTTATGCAAAAACCTTGAGAAACACATCCCACCTTCAACACAGTTCAGACAGTTCTATTAAAAGATTTATTATTAATTTTACTGTTGTCTGTAAATTTCAATCTGGTGACCTTTAAAATGAAGAGGCAATAAAGAATATTCCAATATAAGCAGAGTTCAACGTTTTCATAAACGATTCGAATACAAATTGGCCTAGCTCTAAAGGGTTTTTATGGCGAAGATAATATATGAGGCAAAAGAATTCTTAAACTGCGCCTAGTAGAAACTACAAGGTTTTCATTCCTGATATTTCCTTATATTTTCACAGTGGGATTAAAACATAATACGATCACGTGATCAAAGTACTAAAATGTTTTTCTTTTGATTGTTAGATTATAGGAATAAGAAGTAACATAAATTGTGGACTCGAAGAAACCTAAATATTCATGGGTGAGTTTTAAATCAAAATGTAATAGTAATAGAATTCTGAAGATTACATTCCGTGAAAATATTAATATAATATCGTATATCAAATTGCAAGAAAGACAATAATTCTTTTTTACAAATAAGCAGATACATTATTATTTTATAAAACAAGGAAATTCACGTATTCAAATAATGTAACGAACATAATTATGTAAAATAATGCAATTAGTCTTTTCGTTGTTAGTTAGAAACCATTTTAAATTATAGAATATAATTATTTCTTAAATAGGAGTTGGTTGCAATTTATAAATATGAATGAAATAAATAGCTTGACTAAAAAGGATAAAAACGACAACCATAAATAAATATATAACAATTTTGGAAATTATATTATACGTATAGGTAGATATAACTTTAAGGTACTAATAATTCAACATGTGAATACCGATCTATTGAAGGTATATACAATAGATATTCTCTCTGTATTCACACATCACATTTTGAATCCTTCATAGGACTACTGTCTATGATTCAAATCATGCAAGACAATATTTGCTGAGGGAAACGCTTTCATCTTATATTTTCAAGTAAATCGACTACGATTCATGTTAATAAACATGCCAAGCGCGAGTCGACCTCATGTAAGTATGTAGTTCCTCATCTAGCGCTCTGCAATATAAGTAAATAAATATAACATAAATCTAAGCTAATATTATAAAGAGGAAACATTTATTATACTATATGTTTGTTTATAAAGGATAAACTCAAAGATGACAGAAAAACTATATTACTATTAATAGAAAACTATGTTATCAACCACTAACTTACTAGCAACAATGATATTTCACACAGACGATTCCGCGCGTTACAGGTAGTCTTACTAATATTAAAAACTCGGAAATTTGTGAATGAAAATGGTTGGATGTTTGTTACTCCTTCACGCAATAGCTACTGAATGAATTATAATGAAACTATACAATAATAGAGCTTTTACATCAGAATAATACATAGATTATGCCAAAGCTAGTTTTACACAAAAGAGCAATTTATTTTTTATTGAATTTATGAAAAGTATTCTGATATATAATAATATTAATAATATAACTAAGGGTAGCTAAAGGTATCTGATATTTGAGATATTTCACAAAAAATAAAAGTACCTACACTGAAAAAATATGAAAGCCTAAAAATATCAAGCGACATTATTTTTAGTGTATATGGCTGCAACAGTTGTTCATTATGACTCATTTATTATAATAATAACTAGCGGTATTGCTATACAAATTATGTTGAAAGAAATGTATTAAATTTTATACATAATAACAATTGTTTAAGTAAATTATTTATAAAGATTAAAAAAAGTGACTGTTTATGTTTATGTTAAATAACAGCACGTTTCCAAAGGTTTTCAAAAAATCGCTTATCCGGCCTATATTCAAGGGTGGAGACAGAAACTGTGTCAATGACTATCGACCAATTTCCATCTTACCTTCGTTATCCAAAATTCTAGAACGCATAATAAATAACAGGTTAATAAATTTTTTAGAAAAAAACAAAGTACTATCAGACAATCAGTTTGGTTTTCGCTCTAAAAAGTCTACTGTAGATGCTATACATGAAGTAACAGAACGCATAGCGATGAACCTAGATAGTGGTAGGAAATGCTTAACAATTTTCCTTGATCTGGCGAAAGCTTTTGACACAGTCTGTTTTCCTACATTATTAAACAAACTTGAAAAAATGGGTATACGGGGAAAACCTCTCAAACTTATCAATGACTACTTGTCCGACCGACGGCAATGTGTTCAAATTGATGAACATATAAGCGATGAGGAATCACTTACATATGGGATCCCACAGGGAAGCATAGCTGGACCTACACTCTTCTTATGTTACATCAACGATTTGAGTCGTTTATCCCTAAAAAATTGTAATGTAATTTCGTTTGCAGATGATACTGCCCTTTGTTTTAATGGTGATTCCTGGTCTGAAGTCTTTCAAATTGCTCAAGAGGGTTTTGATACTGTTTCTCGGTGGCTTAGTTGCAATACACTCACACTCAACGCTAAAAAAACGAAGTACATAACTTTTTCAATGCGAAATAACACTCAGCCTCCTGCGCACCTTTCCTTAATTGCACACTCCCCTGACATCCAGTGTAAGAATCCGGAACAGGACATGTGCATAAAACTTGAAAGGACAAACTCCATTAAATATCTAGGAATCATAATCGATCGCAACCTAAACTTCGTTGAACACATACTGAATTTAACCTGCAGAGTTCGTAAATTAATTTATGTATTCAAAACCATAAGACATTTCGGATATCCTCAACTTATTAAGAATGTATATTATGCCCTCTGTCAATCCTTGGTCCAATATTGTATTACCGTATGGGGTGGTACTAACAAGACGGCAATGATTGCTCTGGAAAGAGCAGCTAGAGCTGTAATAAAAGTGGCCACTTTCCGTCCCATAAGATATCCTACTTATGATTTATATCAATCATACCAGGTGCTCACTGTGAGGCAACTGTATATATTAAACACTATTCTCAGAAAACACTCCCTTGAGGTATATTCCCGAGACTGCAGCGGATCCATGCCTAAACGGAGGAAACAGAATATTTGTAGCATTCCCAAATTTAAAAGCTCATTTATAGAAAGATTCTTTTGCTACCAAGGTAACCTCCAATACAACAAAATAAATAAAATATTTATTAATATTAACTCCTTAACAAAAATTTTATGTAAAAAGTGTCTCAAAACCTGGCTACAGAAGCTAAGTTATGACGAAACAGAAAACTTTATTCTGTAAATACAAATTATACTTTATATACTATAAAATGGTTTGATTACGTGGTTATCGGCATATAATAAGTTATTTATTTATTTATTTATTATTTATCTGGCTTTATGTCTTATTATTATTTCCTCCTTTTTTTTTTTTAATTGAATATGTAATATTATGTTAAGTAGTATGTATGATTTTGTGCTGTGTAAAAGTAAATGTTAATAAATGAAATAATATGCACCCTGGGAAGGTATGTGACATCTGAGATACAGTATAATTTTATACTAGTTCAGATGGCACAATTACACTTGTATGTTAAAATTATTGACTCTTATGTACAACTTAATTATGTAACACAACCTTTAACTGCAATAAATATTATTATTATTATTATTATTATTATTAAATACACAGATATTTAAAAGAAGTTACTTGTAAGTATTGTTGCCAAATCCTTTGTTTGATATTTATTCTCTAATTCTCGCCATAGACGAATAAATCTCTTAATAACCATATAAGTAATTACTTGTTTTTATATTTTGTTTCATTTATTAATCTATGTATACCAATTTATAAATAGCTACTAGGAGTAAATAAAAAACTATAAGATAATTTTAGTTAGATAATAAATTTAAACCACTTCGTTTCTATAGTTTATATAATGCCTATATTGTACGGTTACATATATAGTGTAATACAATAATAATAATTTATGTTTCATCTAATATTTACATTTTACATTGTTCCCTGCGTCCTAAACTAAGTAGAAACCTATACCTGTATCTACTAAAATATAAACAATCTGTGTCTTAGACTTATCTCGGGTGTATATATATGTAGAGAGAAGTATTTAAATATAAGATACATTTAGCCTACCGTTATTTATATAGTATTATTATGGGTAACAAAATATATCACGACCATGATTTTTTTCCAATAATTTTCGTTCATTAAACTGTACAAGCACATGAAACATCGAATTGATGTTGTACCTACTCTTGAATTTCCCAAATGAGATTTCTTGAATCGAGTACACCTAATGTCAAAATTCACGTTAATTTATATTTACTTGCCTACTTCATGATCGAGACTCGGTTTAAATTTTTCCGTAAATCTAGAAGGTGCCTCTAGAAATAAGTATGTATTTAATCGGTCGTTTTTTAAAGTTTCTAACCAAAATGTCCGTAATTTGTGACACATATGAGACTATATTATTCTGTAAAAACCCAGAAATATATTAAATAGCGCCATCAATACTTAAACTAAATATAGCTAGTATTTTTTAATAATAATATAAAACCTTCAATTTGGAAATAAATATAAAACTAAAATAACATAAATAACACCTAAACACATACAAATTTTAAATTTCATATAATTCACATTATGTTCATTTTTATTATGTGGGAATCCAACCCGCAATCACAAGGTGGCCATGTTGTATTAAGAACTCCTTTTTGAAATTGGTTCAAAATTAAGCTTTATAATTTGTTTACAGCCAACATTATGCAACGAAAGAGCGTGCCTTGGCAGTTTAATGGCCATTCCTGGCCGCGGAGACGTGCCAAGGGAGTCGGAAGAGGTCCTCAAGGATGCCAAAGACTTTCTTGGACAATATTTCGCTTCTATACGAAGGTAAGTAGACACTGTCGTAATCCAAACGTTATGAGATAGATTAATACTGAATTTTAGTTATTTAATCTTAAAATGATTTAAGAATAGACTTGAATTTTTGCGATTAAAACTGCCATTAAAATCAATAATCGCTTATTTATTATAAAATGTGATACTTTGTGAAAATGTTTGTTAACCATTCGTATAAAGTATAAATATTGTGTAAAGGCTGAACGAATAAATGAAACTATTTCAAACAATTATATATTTTGTTACATAATAGTGCTAATGAATTAGAGACATTGATACAAATTTCAATTGAAATAATTATAAGTTTAATTTTATTCCTTGTATGTATCAATCTTTGAACACGGTTTTATTATAAAATAACTGCACAGGAATTTTGAAAGATCAATAAATACAGCATTATTAACCAAGTTAAATATGTGAAAAAGTAAATACGCATTTAATTTTACATCAAGTTTTAGTATGAATTATCGACGTAATGCCAGAAGAATGTTTTAACTCGATGGCATTTATTGAACAACAGGTTTTATTTATGGAAAAAAATATATTTATTATTTTTTATGTTTAGGGCTAACACGCCAGCCCATGAAGCTCGCTGGAAGACAGTGCAGGAGGAGGTTACACGAACAGGAACATATCAGTTGACTACTACGGAACTAGTGTTTGGAGCCAAACTGGCTTGGAGAAACGCTAGTAGGTGTATTGGCAGAATACAATGGTCTAAACTTCAGGTATTTATATTTTTTTATCAATGGATAACGATGGGGTGGTGATCCCTGCGATTATGTAATATTTCACCAGCGAAGATGATAGGATGATAATAGACTAGTAATATTTCTATTCGAATATTTTTTTCCTCTGACGAAGTTGTTTTACCTACATAACTATTTTGTTTTGGACTTCTTTTATAAATAATAAGAATACGACAAAAGATCATTACTGATTTTGTAGGAGGTTATTGTTTCTATAAGTAAGGGGATTGAGAAATGAAAATATCTCTTTCCTCTTACCTGATATTCGATAAGATTTGGTACTTTTTGACTTATTGACATTGACACAAACAAGTAGGTACATGAAAATGTGAAACAAATTATCAATTAACATAGAGTATAATGGTGCGAAGTGAGTACGGAATAAGGTCTAAATTAACCTGTCGTCGCTAATGAGAAAACCCCTACTATTTGGGGTACCAAAAAAAAAAGCAATTATGCAGCAAATAGTTTTGTAGATGGATGGGAGTTTCCATCAGGGGTTACATACAAAAATGCTTTGTTGTTGTAATTCAATTTTCGGGGTTCTTTACATAGCAGCTATTCGATGTGTGTATCTATTAAATAATACAGAGAGCTATTCTTTGCGATTTCTTTGTATTCAGACAGCTTTGTGTGTAGGGAGAATCAAATTTACCCCAGAAAAGATCTACTGCAAAGCTATATAATATAAATCTATTTATATACGCATGTAATTATCAACATTATATACTTTATTGAGTTTAAAAGAAATAAGAAGTCTTTTTGTACTAAAAAATATTAATGAATATACCTTTTTATATTTAATTCGACTTCCGCATAGTAGTAAATAAGATTCAAGGTTTATATTTTATTGGGATATTTGTAGATATAATTAAAAAAAATGTGTCTGGATATGCCTGAATTTTATTATATTACACCCCTCTAATTCTAACTTGTAGGTTAAGTACACAATTTAAATACCTTTTAGTTTCGGTTTTTTCTCTGCTAATTCCATCACAATGGATTACCTTTAATTTAAATATAGGATTCATTCAATGCTTCGGTGATATCAGACAGCAAATTTAAATCAAGACTTTTGACCTTTTCCATTTTCCGTGGAAATTACCTTTCGTTTTACGAGAGATTTGTATTCAGGTTCAAATGCGAGCTTAAAAATATTGAACCTCAATGTTTTTCTAATTAGAGCGGTCGATTGAGTAGCTGACGACAGGGAAGGTAACGACATTAATTCATTCGTTCATTCGTTCGTTTCCATTCAGTTTCCTCCGCGGTTTACGGTGGAGGACGGGAGTGATTTAAATCGGTATTACAAGGCTCTACTGTTAAGTCCTGCCGATGTTCGCGAATACATTTTGCAATTACGCGGCTTAAATAGATTGCTCGGGTTAATCAGCAATTGGAATGAATGTTTTGCTGTAAGCTTTTAGAACGATTTGAAATGTCATCTAACAAAATATACATATATTTTGTTTTTAAGTTTTGGTATTTTAATGATAAATTGATAATGCCATTCATATAGTACCTTATTCTTAGTCTCATCATTTACTGAATAATGAAAACAAAAATTTTGCTTGTAACGATTATATAATGGATGGTCTCATTTTCTATAATATTTTAAGGTAGTATTTGGACGACATTTGAAAACTGTAATATTTCTAAACCGATCTATAATTTATATTTCTTCTCAGTGAATTAATATGTTGAAGAATATTACTTTATGAAAATGCACATGATTTGAGGTATTCAATAATAATAATTATAATAACGTAATAGGAATATATTTATTGACAAGAACAAACAATTGAATGTATTGCTTTGTAAGTATTTTAAAAACTAGCTGACCCACGCAACTTCTTCTGCCTCATACTTATATATATATTTACATAATATCTTTTTAAATTATAGCATATCTGTTATATATAAGATATGTTACTGTAATCCGTTCAGTCGTTTTTGCGTAAAAGTGTAACAGACAAAAACTTTCGCATTTAAAATATTAGTAAGATAGAATTGAAAATATATAAGTGAATTTGTATTTTTTAATTTCGAACTACAGTATCCGTGGTAAGGGCTCGTTTCATGCGCTTATTGGGCGCGATTCGTTAACATCCACTCGGGTTGTTAATTCGACAGTGAGTGATGTAACATCACTCGACAACGATTACCTCTCAGTTTGCGGAATTGAACATTTATTTATTCGATTTGAGAAATAATGATTCGGGACTTTCCTTATCTGTTTTTTGAAGTGACAATGATTTTAGAATTCTCCAGGGTATATGGCTACATCATTTGTTCTTAAAATTAATGTTGAATAAATTCTACTTTAGTGGTTTTAATATAAGTCATTTACTTTAAAATAGAGTATAAAGTTTCGTTGCTTAAAGTAACACACTCCTTCCATTAGTTACTTTTATAGATTGCCAGCAAAATAAAGATTTATTTTTCTGAAATAAAATATACTTTAAGTATTACCCAAAGTACTAAACCTAAAAGTATATAACTTTTAGGTTTAGTACTTTGGGTAATACTAGAACACATTTGATTATTTTACGATAGAAATTTACATATTAGAAATTAAAAGGAGAAGAGCTTGAAAATGAGAATGTCCATAATTTCAAAATTATACAGTCATCCTGACGGCCTTTTATAGAGATGCCGATGTTTGAATCTATTAGTGCATAAATTTCTGTTCAGTTCACTAACATCTGTAGAGTTTCTATGATATGGAGCTAGTTCTTTGACTTACTTTTTAGGTAAGTTTGTACTAATAAATATAAATAAGTAACATTATATATGTTACTTATTTATATTTATTAGTACAAACATACCATCAAAACTGTTATCCTTGGTAGTAAGAATGACACCTGACATGCCCACATTTCGCTTCTATATCACAGGATAGCTTACATCTCGGATCGGACTATCGCATTTGAATTCGCAACCCCTTATGTGTAAGTCGGAGTTATAAATCACATCTACGACTTAATTTTTTAGTAATAAGATCGATGAGTTATAAATCAAATAAATGTAAGAATAAAAAAAAAAAATCTACGACGTTGTTATTAGTACACTGTGTCTCATATACAATTAACTTGAACTCGAACTTAAATGTGTCTCACACAGCATAAGTGTGAGTTATAAGGTATAAAAATTATAACTTTTGGAATATGTTGTACTCAATTAATGCTTCTTTTAGTTTATTAGTCATTTATTTAAGATTGACATAAATATGACTCGATCTATGAGAAATTGTTAAGGGCATTCAGACGTAATGTCATTTTCACAGAATATTATTAGATATTTTAGCAGGTATAACATCAAAGCACGAAACGAAAGTACGTGAGCTGATTTATTATCAGCTAACCTATCTGCTGTGGGTAATAAATATCATACTAATATTGTAAACGCGAAAGTTTCTGAGTATGGATGGATGGATGTGTGTTACTCTGTCACGCAAAAATTACTGTAAAGTGTCGTCAAACGGATTTTGACGACACTTTACAGTAATATTCAAGTAGCTTATAGATTAGAATAACACATAATCTATAAATTTCATTCAGAGGTGTAATAATAATTTAATATATATCGAGATATATTTTTTAAGTTTTAGATATATTTTTAAGCATTAGGTACAAAAGGCGTAATTTGAAGATGTTTATGTTTATAAATTTTACATATTTATATTAAATTTATATAATATATTATAAATATCAACAATGATTACAATTTCTGCACTATTTGAATTGCAAAAGTCAAGATATGTTTCATTGTATGTTTTATTCAATTTGTATTGAGTTGTTGTGGTATCGACAGGGCTGATTTAATTTAGATTAAGTAATAAACTTGACATAAAAGTATCATATCTTTTTATCAGGTGTTCGATTGCCGACAAGTCACAACTACTAGCGGTATGTTCGAAGCACTTTGCAATCATATAAAATACAGCACGAACAAAGGGAACATCAGGTAATTAAATGTTTTTGTAGGTTATTGTAAAATAACCATATTATAGGTATTCTTTAGTATCATATGAATAGTAAATAAGTTACCGACTCACCTGATGACTAGTGCGTTGTTATTTACTTATGTTATACCTATTTATGTTGTTCATATGTAAATGATTCATGTTGGTCATAGTAAACCTTATTTTTATATATACATATGTATGGTGTATTGTATATAATTGTTAAGGGTCTATTTCTTTGTATATATTTTGACGGCCGCGGTGGTCTAGCGCTTTAGCACGCCGCTTTACTTCCTATGGTCGCTGGTTCGATTCCTTGCATGGTGCAAATGTTTATATTCCTGGGCATGATTGTTTGTATCATTCTGGGTGTATTCAATGTATATTATGTATGGATTTACGAAAAAAATTATCTAAGAATATATATAAGTTGTCTAGTACCGATAATACAAGTTCTGCTTACCGTGGACTAGATGGGGCTGTGATAATTGTTCATGGTTATTTTTTTTATAGTTTTGTTATATTGTATTATCATTTTAAATATTTATTTTAAATATGCTCTTCTTGTTAGTACAATGACTTACTATACATAATTATCAACAGTGTTATGCCGTAGGCATAATAACACATAAAGAGCTCATTACATTTGCTATGGCATATTGGGCCATACAACTTAATATTAATGACGTATTTGATGATACAGATCAGCTATAACAGTGTTTCCACAACGCACGGATGGTCAACACGATTATAGGATATGGAACAGTCAGCTCATCAGCTATGCAGGGTACAGGCAAGCTGACGGTACTGTACTTGGGGATCCCATGCATTGTGAGTTCACTGAGGTAAGATTCTCTATAAGATTGATTGAGTTTATAGAATTTACAGATTTGAAATGTTGAGTGCGTTTAATTTACAATAAAATGGAAAGATTATTCTGTTTTAAAATGAATATTTAGAGTCACAGATTCCATAATATTATAATATACATATTTTTAATATCATGTAACAAATTTATATTTGTTTGTAATATACATTCTACTGAAACTTTAATTCTCGTACGGTCATATTTACCGTTTTATTGATAATGCTTTTACCAGCGTGTTCCAATTTTTTTTTATATAAAAGAATGTCCGTCTTTGTCATACATTGTATCTTCAGGACAAATTTTTATTAAAATTCATACAGTTGTTTAGTTGTGATAACGTAAGAATCCAACAGATAGAATAAGGGACACATTTTCGTCTTTATATTATTTGTATGAATAATAAAAATATGAACATAATAACTATTATAATGCATCTTGAATTATAATTATAAACCAATTGAATCCGTTACACCTCTGTAGGTTTGGTCTCTGCGATGTTTGAATCAAACGTACCCAGCGAAATGAGTGTGTATGTGACGACGTAGTATGATGTGACAGTCAACAATATCTCTGACTACTCCGTCTGGGAATATATCACGATGCTATATTATTATTATTAACTAGCTGTGCCCGCGGTTTCACCCGAGTTAAATTTTAATATATAAAGTTCAATGAAAATATAGCCTATATGTTATTATATTGCATAAGCTATATCATAAAGTAAAGTTTCATCAAAATCCGTTCAATAGATTTTGCGTCAAAGAATAACAAACATCCATACTTACCAACTTTCGTGTTTATAATATTATTAAGATTAAGATTAATTTCGTTTGTTATAGCTATGCCTAAAATTAGGCTGGAAACCTCCACGCACAGCGTGGGATATTTTGCCATTAGTGCTATCAGCCAATGGAAAAGATCCGGACTATTTTGAAATCCCTCGCGAGCTGGTCATGGAGATTAATATGACACATCCTACGTACGTATAATGTTGTTTTATAATTACTTACTTCTGAATGTGACTTCCTTCACATGATGATTGTCTTCCTATTGTATAGCCTACTACCTGCCTACTTCTAAAATATATAATAATACATCACTAAAATTGAACCTTTGAACTTTACTAAACAAGGACGTTATAATGGGAACTAATTACCTATGTACATAGGGACCAATGTAGCAAGTCAGGTTGACCTCCACGAGGTTCTTCTGGAAACCATCATGATAAATTCCTTGTGAATTTGTCAGTATGGGCCAACTGATCTGACCTCATGCTCATTCTATTATCCTCTACTGGTGGCCTGCCAGTGTAAACCGTAATCATATATTAAAAACCAAAGTATGGATGTAACACCTATATTTTACATAGCTTCGTTTATTTAATTTTTTTAAAATACATATATTTTAAGATAAAATAAAACACAGAATCACTTTTCAAAGATGTTTGTTTCGCTAATGTAGACAGAAGTGTTACACGCGGACGAATTCAGTATAAATGCTTGATTATATATAAAGTAACATTCTATCTCTATTACTTTGTGAAAGTTATATAGGATTAGGAAGAAACATTGAATCAATTTTGTCTCACGAACGCGTAATCTATTTTCCTTTAGGCATGTCCTTTTATGTGAATTGTAGTATATATTTCGCATTGAGGATGTGAAATTGATCCAATTTTTTTAGAAGGTTTTAGATACACTATTTATTAGATTCAATTGTTATATCTTGATCATGAATATTTAAATTCTAAATAATTACTATGATTGTAAAGTTTCATAATATATTGAAAATAATTCAAGTAAATTAGCTTTCACGTATGATAAAAAGCATCTTTACTTAGGTGTTGAAACCATTATCGAAATATAATTAATTGCAGTACAAATAACTCTACATCAGTGAAGCATATTAAACTTCATGTATATATTATTGTGCTTTGATTATAATCCTAGCAATTCGCAGTTACATTACATTGTGACGAGAATAATTAAACATTTCTGGTAAATGGAAATGCTGTCTTGAATTTAGAGCTTAAAACGTGCTCATACATACTATGTATGAACTTGCTTACGCCGTGTCGCTTCCCATCACAGATTTATGCCGCATAAAAACTCGGAATGCATATTGAGGACAGAGTAAAGGGCCGCAAATAGGCGAACAGGCCCATACAAGCTGAATTGCTTATCGTAAACCTTTGGTCCAGTGATCTTCAATCTACGTTTACTACCCATAAGTCTCGGCTATTCAATAACGTTCCACTATTGATAATGTTAACAGGCGATTACACCACATATAAAGCTGTTTAAATAAAACAAGATTCTATTTTATTCAGTTCAAGTAAGATGTTTCCTTGTATAACTTAGAACATTTATAGTACAGTATCATAATAATAGATTTTGCAGTTATGATTTAGTACATAGGATTATAATGTTCATATGATAAATGAGATATACTACCAGTTTTTATGATAAATTAAATTTATGTAATACCTTTCTAGAAACATTAGTCAAAAAATGTGACTCTTTGAGGAAACAAACTCTTTGCAAACATTTCAAATACTGTTCGTTCATATGAACGACAATAAATTTCAGTTATTTTTATTTATTTAGTTTGTTAGCTTATGCTATACTATTGGTTAACAGTATGCACATTATATAAAAATGTTAAAGTTAGAAGATTGAGGATTGATATCTGGATCTTTACCTCTTAGTAACCTACAACACACACCAATAACAGGTTATTTTTTATTTCACGACCGTGGCAAACAAACAGATATGTAAAGAGGTAGGGGTCTAGTAATAGTAGTAGTGCAACTTTATGACGTCATAGTAATAAAGTTCTTAATTACGGTACTAATGTTCCATAGTCAAATAAATCAAGTAGTAAATTAAGATCTTTAAATTCGATAATTCTTAAGAAGCAATTATCGTAAATACTTGTTAGTTTTTTATCAAAGTTTCAATTTTTTGTCTCGTTTTATGGTTTCATACTTTTTCATTCGGATAATAATTAAATGTCTCGTAAAATGTTTTATACCATTAAGTACTATGATATTTTTGATAACATACTTAAACGTCGCTTAATCGAATTATTTTAAAAGTAGTTGCGTCCATTAGGTATCAATTTTTATATCCCTATGTGTGATAAGTTGCTTATTTAAAATAGTTGACAATTTCAATGAACTGACAGTTTCTATTTTGTAACTTTGTTTTTTGGATTAGTCTCTGTTGAACAAATTTAGTAGTTCGTATTAATGTAAAAATACTAGTGCATGTCCTTTAACTTCAATTATTGAGATAGTCGCGGGTTCGATTTCTCGCACGGTGCATTTGTATTCAAGAGTATGACTGTTTGTCTCGATCTAGGTGATTTGTATGTATATTATCTGTGTATTTAAAAAAATCGAACTATTTATTTCAGTTGTCTAGTACACGCCTTACACAAGCTTTAGCTAGCTTAACTTGGGTCTAGATGGCGCTATGTTAATTGTCCAGGGTTATGTATTATTATTATTATTAACAGTCGTTGTATTGTACTGGTTAATATAATTGGTGTCATGAAGAATGATGATTCCAATGGACTGACTAATTTGTAATATAGTTTTTTGGATTAATCTCTATTGAATAAATTTAGGAGTACGTAATAATGTAATAATACTAGTGCATGTCCTTTAAGTGTAATTTACTACGACATCAGTTGTTGTAATGTACTGTTATTGTAATTGGTGTCATAAAGAAAACTAGAGTTTTAATTTGAACAGGCAAGAATGGTTTGAGGAGCTCGAACTCCGTTGGTACGCGTTACCAGCGGTCTCTAACATGCGCTTCGATTGTGGTGGCATAGAATTCACTGCGAATGCTTTCAACGGTTGGTATATGAGCACGGAAATTGGCTGTCGCAATTTTTGTGACATTAACCGATTAAACATGTTGGAGGTACGTACTAGTCGTCTGGAATTCTTTTATATTCAACATAAAGTATTATTATTATTAGGTATTACTATGTGCTTCTATTTAATTCTATATTGTTTATTATTAGAAAAATTATAGCATAGTTTTGAAAAAACATTTCTACGTTATTGCAATTTTAAAATTTTGCTCTGAATAAAAATAAAAACTGAAATATATGTTTTAAATGTATGCAAATTTTCGAAACATTACATCACATTTCGAATTTAAAAGATGCCTCAAAAAGGGCATTATATTCTGAATTTATACTATTTATCGTATTTATTGTATTATACGTAATTGGGGACATATTTGCATTTTATTATTATTGAAGTTTTAATAAAAATGTCCATATCTGTATGATACTTAATATATTCTTTGTTTTATAGAAAGTGGCTCAAAAAATGGGCTTGGATACAAGAACGCCTGTAAATTTGTGGAAGGACAAAGCCCTTGTTGAAGTAAATGTGGCTGTATTACACAGTTTTCAGCAACATAATGCTACTATCGTTGATCATCATACTGCTTCTGAGAGCTTTATCAAGCATTTGGATAATGAGAACAGACTCAGGTACGTGTTTATAGATATGCAGTAAAAAGTACTAGAGACTCCCAACGACAATATAGAAAATACTAATAATAATAATGTAACAATAGTAAATAATAACCACATTACCTAAATTCATTAAGCAGGCAATAACATTGATATTAAACTATTATTAAATAATATTAATTTCAATTAGGAACTTGGTAAAATGTAGTTAGACATATACAAAATATACTTTCACGATTGTTATTCATAATAAAGTAGTCGTTACTATTGACGTTGTGCTAAACGCAAAACTTAACAATTTTTCTCTTGGTATGTTTAAAGTGATTATATCAAGAAAATATTTGGTTAAATAGCGAACTAATTTCGTTGCTTCGCTACTTAACCAATTTTAAATAATCCACCCCACTAATTGCCTCAGGCATATTTGATATTTTCAATACTTGGCTTTATAGTCTAATCATGATGTCGTAAAGATAATTCAAGTATTTCTTTTTATTTCATTCCAGTGACGTCGTTAAAAACTACTATAACACTAATAGGTACCTGTATCGAAATATAATTTGTTATAATAAATATTTGTACCAATGTCATAAAATGTCTTATTTACCAGTTGTCATGTGATGTGCCAGGCACCCGGAACTCTTTATATGTGTATGACTAATTTTTATGAGAACATTGTAACTTTGGCTCTCTGGCTTATAAACAATTCCTTGGACTATAAGTAGACCAACTGTATTTACAGCTATAAAAACTTCGTCACCCAATGGTTGTATATTGTTATATCGGGCACTAACAACAACAAATAGATCTTGATCATGCGAATGTTTTGACTAGATGCCATCGTAGTTTACTATAACAGTGTACATTAAAATTGGAAATAATAATAGTAACCTAATAATAATTTGCTAGCTTTTATCCTATACGTTTATATAATTTAAATATACGTATTTATAATGATATTTAAGTAATATACATACATACAAATCTTATAGAAAAAGAAAATACTTATAAGTATCTGGACAAAATTATAATGAAACAAATAACAGAACATTATAAAAAGAATGATTAAAATAGCTCGAATCGATAAATAATCGAGAAAAATCTGAAAATCATCATTTATGAACATTGCTATTATTGTTAATAATATTTTGTGCTACTAAAAATATAAGAGCTTATTATTCGTGATTACGATAATAATGTTTCCATAACATCCAATATAATACAATGTTAATATTGTAGGTCTGGATGTCCCGCTGATTGGATATGGATTGTGCCACCAATGTCATCTTCTATTACTCCAGTGTTTCATCAGGAAATGGCATTATACTATTTGAGACCTGCATATGAATATCAAGTGAGTTAAGATTTCAAAAATAGCTATAAAAGTGTTTCTGATCAAGTGTTAATGGCATACAGAATTTGGTGATATTTGAACATTTGGTGATACTTCACATGTGATAATGTAATTACAGTAATCGTTACATTATATGAAAAATAATACTATGGCCTTAGATGAATTTTACTAAATTATGAAAAGATGGACAGAAAGCGATTTTTTCTTTCTATTTCGTTTTTTTGCAATACTGTAAATGGGATATGAGTTAACAGCCAAACTAATGGTCAAATTTGCGCTGATCTATATAAATAGTAATATACATATATATATATCTATATACAAAGTCTCTGGTACTCTAGTATAGATAGTGTTATATTTTCTTTTGTAAAAGAATAGCCCCAAAAGAATAATATTTTCAAATTATGTTGTTACCCTTCTATAATTTTAAATGTATATGTATGATTACAATTGAAATAAAATTTATAGGAACCAGCTTGGAAAACTCATCAGTGGCAAAAATCGAAGCCGATTACAGGCAAAAGACCTATAAATAGAAAATTCCACTTCAAGCAAATAGCGCGTGCGGTGAAGTTTACATCGAAGCTCTTCGGCCGAGCACTTTCTAAAAGAATAAAGGCGACTGTCTTATATGCTACTGAAACAGGGAAATCGGAACAGTATGCTAAGGAATTAGGAGTCATTTTCGGACACGCCTTTAATGCTCAGGTAATGGGTGTAATTAATTATAGTTACTAATAATTAAATAATTAAATTATTTTTTATGTCCAGTTACCGTGAGTATAATTATTATCTTTCGCCTATATCACTACTGTATGTATAAAATATATGTGAGAGAAACGTACCAATGGCGATTTGCTATAAGAATTAATCAGAATCCTAAAACTTAAATTTATATTGTATAAACTAAACTTCATGTTTGATTTATAATGTTTATAACATGAATGTCTAAAATATCTTTTTGTAAAGTAAATGATTAAATTCTATGTGAGTAAAATATATATGTACAAATTTTTTTGCCTTTACTATACATTGCACAATACAAAATTATTCATTTTCATAAACAGTCATTTCATAAACAGTCATTTTAATATTGAATGAAAATGAATAATTTTTGATGTTTTATCATTTTATATGTATTCTGTTATATTAAATTGGCACAAACAATGCAGTTATTACTACAGAATGAATAATAAAATTAGGTAAATTATTGTAAACAATTTAGTGCTTTATTACAGTATGTCACTGTATTCAAACACTCTATTTCAAATATTTGTATATGATTATTACATTGAGCGACTTGGTACAAATCTGTTTACCTATGATCCTACTACTGACCTCAAAATATTGAAGGTTCTATTTTATTAATGTATACAAATATAATTAAACTCATTGATATCATGTGGCCCTAGGTGCACTGTATGGTAGATTATGACATAACGTCTATAGAACATGAAGCCTTACTGATGGTTGTAACATCCACTTTTGGAAACGGTGATCCACCGGAAAATGGTGTGGTAAGTGTATTAATGATAGTTGATAATGTTAAAGTTCTTGAGTTTTATTTTAATTTTGTAATGGTAATATTTGCTTCTTTTGAAGTAAAGAATGAACAAAATATGTATATTTTTAAACTTTCTAATTTCTACAAATGTCGAACTATAAATTGTTATAGTGTATGTGTACCATGTCATTTTGAAAATATATACTTATATGTGTATTGTATGAAAAATATACTATTATTACGTATTATTGTATTTTTTTAATATATAGAATCAGAAATAATAATGTTGTTGAAAGTGTTAAGTTTAAAATATGAACAAAAATCTCCAGTTTTAGAGACTTAAGCCGAACAATTAATATTAGACTTTACTCGAGACTTGTGCTAATTAAAAAGTGGATGAATAATGATTAGTATTATTTTTAGGCTTTTGCAGAACATCTTTGTGAAATTTTATATGCTGACCAAGTTGGCGATGATATCAGTGGGTGAGTTCTATAAATATTGTTATAATAATACAGTCATCTCGATTATCAATCATTTATCTTTCGCTTTATATATATTTTTTGTTTATTACAGCAATGTTCAATCACTTACTCCGAAGACTTTCATAAAAGCCAATAGTCAGATGGAATTCCAGAGATACACATCTGGTACTACGAAAAAGTTGAGCCGATTAGAATCATTAAAAGGTAAAGTAACATCGATTCCAAACAAAAAAGATAATCCGCATTTGATTTGTGTCTTTTGCATAAAATGGATTAACAAAACTTTTGATATTCAGAGAGATAGTCTATTATTATACAACTGTATATGTATTTGTTTTCCGTAAGTATTTTATCCAACTCATTGTTTCAACACTCTATGAAATTTATATTGAATTGGTAAGTCACTTAAACGTCATAGACAGATGTAATGTTTTTATATATAAGTTTAATGAAATTACTATTAATATTTTATATAATAGGAGAAATATCACTAACTAACTTAATATATATTAGACATACAAGTACGCTTTGAAAAATATAAATACTGTCAACTTACAATGAAATATTAGAATAATGTATATACATTATTCTAATAATTTTTTGTAAGTTACACACTATGCAATTTTATTCAATCGAATGAACACACCACATTTATTTATAAATTCAATAATATTGCAGGAAGTGTAACTGACGCCACATCAATCGACAGTTTTGGTCCACTGAGCAATGTTCGTTTTGCTGTGTTTGCCTTGGGCTCTAGCGCCTACCCGAATTTCTGCAACTTCGGCAAATACGTCGATAAACTATTGGGTGATTTGGGAGGGGAACGTATCCATGACCTTGCGACCGGTGACGAGATGTGCGGTCAAGACCAAGCCTTCAGGAAGTGGGCCTCTAGCGTGTTTAACGTGAGTTTGTTTCTTGCAAAAAAGTGACAATAGTAGTTTAGTAAATTCCTCTATTATCGTAATATATATGTATGGCCTCTAGAAGGAACTGTAGATAATTTGGTAGCAGTCTGTATAATAAAACATTTGGGAATATTGATACCACCAAAAAAAGTTTAGTAAAAATTAAATTTTGAATGAAGTCTATTATTTTCTTAATTATTATTTGCAGGTTGCTTGTGAAACATTCTGCTTAGATGATGACGAAACTTTACAAGAAGCTAAGCGGGCTCTAGGCAGTGTTGCTCTTAGTGAAGAAACAGTACGATTCATATTACCAGTTGGTCGTGCACCCACTCTTACAGCTGCTTTGCAATCTGCATTAAACAAAAAATTCGTGACATGCATAGTGAAAGCTAATAAGGATTTAGGCGATAGTTCCGCTGAGAGATCTACAATATTTATAGATATGGAACCTAAGGTTAATAATAATAATAATTCACATCACTAAAATGTCGAAATTGATATTTCTGTATACCTTAAGAATAATCAAATTCCTGATTGATTTTAGGAGGAAATAAAATATGACCCTGGAGACCATGTGGGTATTGTCGCATGTAATCGTAAAGAATTAGTTGATAGTCTGTTGGCTCGACTAAAAGATGTGGACGATTATGACGAACCAATACAACTTCAGCTAATGAAAGAAACCCATACTTCAAGTGGTAAGTATTTATATGTCAATTCTCAATTATAATTGATTGTAATATATACTTAATTAAAAAAAATATTAATACTGATACGTTTTTAAAAGGACCTGTAAAATCCTGGGAACCACATGAAAGACTTCCAGTAGTTAGCGTGCGAGAACTATTCACAAGGTTCCTAGATATTACAACGCCACCAACTACCATCCTTTTGCAATATTTAGCAAAGACTTGTGATAACGACGAAGACAGGAAACAGCTAAATTTACTTGCAACGGTATGTTTATCATTAATTTATCATATTTTATAATTTGCAACTAAATTAACGATTCATTTAATACTATATTTTAATACAGGATCCTGCAGCTTATGAAGATTGGCGTCATTATAACTTCCCAACTATATCAGAGGTTTTAGAACAATTTCCATCTGCTAGACCGAGTGCATCGCTTTTTGCTGCACTGTTGTCTCCTCTGCAACCCAGATTTTATTCTATTTCGTCATCACCAATTGCTCATCCCAAAAGATTGCATCTTACAGTTGCTGTGGTCACATACCGAACTCAAGGTTAGCCCTCAAAGTAGTTTAATTATTTTATACATTATTTCATATGCTTTTAGTTTAAAATGACGTTTTTAAAAAAACTTAATTTAGATGATCGTATACCTTTGCACCTACTTTAAGTAGTCGAATATATTTACCAAAGAGCATACTGATACATTTTTGTATTTATGTTGGATGTTTATAATACTCGCTTCCATTTTTTTTATTGTGTTTTCAATTGTATAAATATGATTTCACATAATTCCCACAAGAATTCTCAAATGATATTTTTTATAATATTCTATCTGCGTAGAAGCTAGTACTCTAGACATCTATCATGTCTGTTGGTGTATTAATTTTATATAATATTGTATATTTTAGTCCCACAACTAGATTACATGTGATAATATGATGATGTCATGTTTACACAGATGGAGAGGGTCCAGTCCACTACGGTGTTTGTTCAAATTATCTCATGGATTGTAAGTCTGGCGATGAGGTTTACTTATTTATACGAAGGTCTGTACGCCGTAAATGTAGGATGTACATAATGTTTATTTCGATCGGGTTTTTTATATTGCATATTAATTTATAAAATGATTTCAGTGCGCCAAATTTCCATCTTCCACAAGATCTATCAGTGCCACTTATATTGATAGGCCCAGGAACTGGAATTGCTCCGTTCAGAGGTTTCTGGCACCATCGAAGGGCCCTATTAAATTCCCGAACACGGCCAAATGCAGGCCCTGTTTGGTTATTCTTTGGGTGTCGTACAAAAACTATGGACTTATACCGAGAGGAGAAAGAACAAGCTCTCAAGGAAGGAATATTGTCAAAAGTATTCCTTGCGTTGTCAAGGGAAAAAAATATTGCCAAAGTAAGAAATGTTGAAGCAATGCAAAAACTATTATACATAGCTACTTATTATATTTACATTAATGGATATATATTTTTTATTGTAGATGTATGTTCAAGAATTGGCAGAAAAAGAAGGATTTGAAATCCACGATCTGCTAATAAACAAAGGAGCTCACTTTTATGTCTGTGGTGACTGCAAGATGGCGGAGGATGTTCATCAGAAGTTGAAGGGCATCATTAAGAAGCATGCAAAAATGACAGATGAACAAGTGCAAAATTTCATGTTTATGCTAAAGGTAAAATCTATTTATATAAATAATTACACAGTCTATACCAATTACTATTATTTATTAGTAATTTATGTTATTTTAAATATATTATTATATGTGTCTTTATTAACCTATTAACAAATAAGATTCATAATAAGACATGAGGATAAACTACTAGGTATAGATTATTGTAAATCGTACGTCTTGTTTGATAAATGTATTTATAAATTATATTATGTAATGTATTAAATAATATAGTTATTCGATAAATCATCAACATTTAGTTCACCAAAAAAATATGAAAATTAATCCGAATTGCAGAATAAGAATGCAATATTTTTAATATTCATGAAATCCCATTGAATAAATTGCAAATCATATTTTAGTTTTTATATATAATTATAGAATAGCAAACAAGTAAGCAACACTTGTTGTCAGACATTATTAATCACCATGGGCACCCGCAGTGCTACTTATACTTTGCCATTCCGGAGAACTAAGAAGTTACATTTGTACTCTGTAATTTCACTGTCATATTCCACCCTCCAACCGAAACCCAACTTAGGAAGAAATTGCTTTGTGTGGGTGCCGTTTGGTGCGTGGTTGGTGTAGGTGATAAAGATGGGATAAATACAAAAATAACTTGATTTGCAGAAGTTACTAAAATAAAGACTTTAAATGCATAAATGATTATAGTAACATTTTCTACGTGAATACATTACTTTTTAATACATAGGAGGAGAACCGTTATCATGAGGACATCTTCGGAATTACCCTTCGCACAGCGGAGGTCCACAGCGCGTCGCGAGAGTCAGCTCGCAGGAACCGCGTAGCTGCACAACCATGACGCCGGTCCTCCCGCTTCCGTCCCAATACCCTCACATAATCTATATAAATTGCCATCTAACACTAATAATGAATCGGCATGACTGTAAGTAAATGTTATACTACATTTCAAATATATATTTGGAATCACGCAAAGATACTGTTTGGTGATTTCATTGTATTTATTATCTAATGATTCTTTAACTAATAGATGTATGTGTATCTCATCGTTCCAACGGAATGAATAATGTCTCAACTATTCAGAAAATAATAATATTTACTACGATTCCTCTCTTTCAAATTTACCTGCTTTACCTAAATTTCAGGAAAATAGGTACACTAGTAGAAAACATTTAAAATAGCTAGTTGACGTTGGATCTGCTTTTGACGCTTAAATAATTAACATATAAGTATATAACTTTAGTAATGAAATTCTGTTATAATAAAGTTCATTAGAGCATTGTTCCTGAATCTCATTGTCGGGTTTTGCGCAATTTTCCTCAAATGTGGTGTATAAAAAGTAGTTAAAGAAATTATTTACTTCTGACTTTCAAAGTTGTTCTTATAATTATAGAATCTTTCATAGATATGTGCTCGACATTTAGTAACCATCATTATTTAAATAGGAATCAATTGATGATAATGATTTAATTTCGTGACTAATTATTTTCAAGTCAATTAAGTCACCGCAGTTACTGACTTTAGCCACAGATTAATAAATAGTCTATGGCTTCGGTGAAGTAATCGTTTTTAAAACCATCGTGGTTATAGAGGTTGTGCATATTATTATGGGTCCTTCATTGTATATAGTCCCAAAAATTATCAACCTCATGAATACTATGTATAAGGTACGGTATAAAAAACATATTTCCTCATCTATTAGTTGTTAATGATAATGTTTATACGTTAGATAGTATATACGTTTCTAAATCGCACATGTTTAATGATATATACGCACGGTAGAAACATTTGCATTCATGAGTTGTTTATATTGGTCTGGGTGTTTTCCATGTATATTATGTATGTATTTACAAAAGAAAATATAACTATATATTTATTTCAGTTATTTAGTACCCATATCACAAGCTCTGCTTAGTTTGGGACTATCTAGTCGCTGTATGTCCCGTGATATTATTATTATTATACATTATAATTTTGTTTTTATTATCTTACTTCTGTCACTATACCTGAATAAAACAGTTAATAAATTTCATGTGATGCTACTTGTACATATATTTTTTTGTGTGGTTGAAAACTAGACCCTGGATTTAGACAGGCCACGTATGATATATAAATCTACATATAAACGTAATTAAATAATAAATGAGGATATATATTTCTTATGCAGTATCTCCTACTATATAATACGTTTAATTTTTGCGAAGGCAGCTAATATTTCTGTATAATAACAGAGTTCTAAGCAGGGTGACATTATTATTATATATTATATTGTATTATACATTGATAACGCACAAAATGCATTTTGTCTCATGTTAAATCTTCTCTGAATGGCTTTATCGATTTCGCATAATTGCATAAATTAAGAATTTATCAATAATAGAGTTAAGATTTATTCCATTTAATGAATTTAATTGTGATTAATAATTGATAATTATAATACATTTTCATCGATGTCATAATAATTAACATTGTCCATTAAATTTTACGATTATAAAATATAATGTTAATAAATATGTTGCAGTTATTATTTGAATTAATGCATTAAATTTTAATTAAATTTATACACACTTATATTTCGTTGATCTATTATTATTAATTCTATTATAACCTAGCTTGATGGCATAATGGAAATCTTATATTTTAATAATTTACTTTAAATAGTCAGTAAATACAACGATGATGTTTTATATAAGTATAATAATAATTTTGTTATTGCCAAATCTTGTACAAAGTACTTTATTATAGTTAGGTTAATTTGTGCTACTGTAAATAAAATTTAAGTTATATCAATTAAAATCAATTTTATTTTTATAAAATTTTTTTGGTTAAAGAATATTTAGTATTATGTACTTTATATTGAAAAATATTTAGTTTATCACGCTACAAAAATATGTGAGTTATATTTTTACAATTTTAATCAATTCTATGTAAAATACAACATTAAGTAAATTTATAATTAATACGAAATTAAAATTAAAATGTATGTATATTATGATTGTAATAATATCTGACTTTCAAGATCTTTTAATGTGGATGTCAACTTTGTGATTATATAAGTAAGAATTCATATTAATGTAATAAGAAATGTATTCATATTTTCTATTATTATTCGAGTTACAAAAAAAAATAATATATATACAAAATCTTTTCTGATAATATTAATATTATATTAATATACATTTAAATAACTATCTTTACCGGATATTTACAAATTATGGATTTCATATCTTCTAAATTTAATCAACTGCACATTTTGAGATTATAAGAATGTTATCGAAATTCATATCACCTAAAGAATACACTATATGCACTACTTCATCTATTAGTGAAACTGTTTGCAAATATAAAATATGACGAAAAATGAAAATATAAAAACAAAATTTATCTGTTATTGATCAAATAAAGTTCCTTCGTATTCGAAAAAGTAAAATTTGCGTTTAATTCAATAACCCTTTTATATTATAGAATATTACAATATTCTTTACAAGTAAGCATTGTTTATATCTTTCCGTTCTGTATAAGTATGTACCTCATTGAATTATTTAAGATATGGTGTTGGAGGAAAATGCTGAAATATCATGGACTGATTTCGGCACTAACCCACCTATGAATTGTCATTCTAAAGATATTTAACATGAGAATCAGATTTCATAATGAGTGTCAATAGATTATAACATTTCTTTGGTCACATCGCCCGGAAATTATCCTAATCAGCAATAGCAGGCGATGACTGGCAGGGTACATGGTAAATATCCTCGAGGATGGCCTCACTGACTTTGTTCATCGCATTCGACACCACATTCCAAGACAACGTTCATTATACAAAACACCAACATATAGGGAGAGATGTAATCGGAGTAAAATTGATTTTGCAGAATAGGTACGATTCTCAGTAATGAGGAAATAATTTCAGGTGCAAAAGGAGCTGCTTAAAGATATTTCAATTTAAAGTTGTTGCACTAACGAACATTTTGATCTTAATATAGAAACATGACACTACTAAATTAGTGATTATACGCGTTCTTCGCTAAGTCCCGGATCGGGCTTCCCCAGTTGACCTGGGAAAGACCTATCTAAGAAACAGATAGACATAAGAACGAGCATTCATCCACGTACACCTGTGATGAATAATGTTCGATACCTTTCTTCTAAGAAATTAGTGACTGCAGCTTAAGAGAGAACCGCAGTGACTTGCAATGATATAAATTTTGAAAAGCTTTGACGTCATTAATGCGTCATTTTCTACTTTATACACTTCTTAGAGACATACATATTATACATAGAAAATACTCAGATCGACACAAATAATCATATTTATGAATAGAAACGTTTGTGCAATGCGAGGAATTGAACCCGCGACCATTGCAAGTATGGCGGTGAATTAATGTATGTCTATTAAGGACAGACACTATAAACGATAGTAAAGATAAGTTAAACTTTTCTTTAAACAATTCAAATTTGTATCACTTACAAAATATCTGCTGCATCTAGAAAATAATATCAGGTGAGTAATTCGTATGTTACGTAAAGGACAAACAATCCAGCACTTATCTTCTATCTATTAAAGTACTTACCTTTTCTTGAAGGTCTAGCAAGCCCCTAAATGTATTAGAGAGGTTTATGGATAAAATAAAATCCAAATATAAATCCGGTAGGGTTATATCATTGATATAAATTGAGAAAATAAAATATTATTTATGGATCTAATGCATATATTCATATCATAGGAGTTGAATTGTTTATGACACTATCAACTGAACGATATCGGGACTGTTTCACTTAGAATAAACTGTTGCTTTGTATGAATCGATGATGCGATAAGAAAAACAATATACCAATATGAGACTATAAGGTTGAAATGATTCACTACAATGGTTAATTTTATTATTCGAAAGGAGTAGTGTCCGCGAATTCTTAGTCGTTTAATGTGTACATTTTTGTATTACAGATCGTCATCTACTCGTATTGTTGGTAAATAAACGAGAACAATAAAATAAAGTGTATGCATCCAATCAGTATTAAGTATATAAATAACCTTGGACAATTATAACACAGTTTTACATAGTCTCACGATAAGCAGAGCTTGTGTTAAGGGTGCTAGTACAACTGATATAAATACTTAGATATTATTTTTTGTAAATATATAAAACATCCAAACCAATACAAACAGTCATACTCATGAATACAAATATTTGCACCTTGTGAGGAATCGAATCCGAGACCATCGGAAGTAAAGCGGTATGCTATACCACTAGACCACCGAGGCCATTAGTTTATGGTTATTTGAGTAAAATATTAAAACTCCTCACGTACTATTGGCATTATGTAGGCAAATACTGATGTGTTTAGGTATTCGTTATGTAAAATGAAACCTATATATTATACACAGTTGATTTATAATAATAATTGTTATTTTTATCCTGCATATAAGGGATTTTTTGACAACTAGAATTGCAAAAAAGATGTCGTCAGCTCATTGTTAGTGGAAATCCCCATGTGTTGCATTGTCAACTGTCGAAGTCCTAGTGAACGCAACATTTGACACGCCTATTACATTTGAATTTAAATTGACAGAGGGCGTGCCTCTGCATTTTCATGGATAATTTTTTTTGTTTTCTTTTTGGAATATAACTTCAAAGTTTTTTCACATATTCAAACCCACAAATTTCTAATTTATTTGGGGATACTAAACCTCATGATACAAGTCTATCAATGCATACTACTTGTTAAGGATGTAATTTACGACTACAGCAATAAAACAAATAACATTTACACAGGCACCCAAATAAATTCGCTGGGCAACTTTTAAAGCCCGAAAACGTGAGTCGGTTAAAAAAAAGACATACACATATTTGACAGTGATAATCAGACAGTACTGACTCTTTAAGAACAAGGAGCTGCTCTACTGGTACTCTACCTGTTATAGACGGTACACCACATCTGCTTATAGTCCACGTGACTGATTGCAAGATTTCTAATAGAAAAAAAAGAAAATGAATAAGTGGAATTTGGGATGTAATCTCTAATTGGACCAATTTAATTCTCTTTTTGCAGTTTAATTTAGAAAATTTCGTAGGAAGTCATTTGTTGTATTAGGCCGTTATCGTTATGATATTCTATATATATTCTCAACAAATATTATGTTCATAACTCTGTACTGTTTCTCATAACATAATATCCGAGAGATATTACACAATCACACTTTATCAGATTTAAGAACTGAGATTTCTTATTTACAGATTAAAATGATGTAACTGATAATCGCATAGATATGACCAAAAATATATTTAACATTGGTCATAGCACATATAATTGAATATCTTTGGTGGGTACCATTTTCAACTTTCTAGAACTCACATTTGTTCAGTACATTGTGATATAAGTAATACGGCGATAAATGCAAATCGAGAAAAAGTACAATATTTTCGTTCTTTGTTCAATAAAGCATGTACAATATATTATTTAATAACATACCTACAAATATATAAAATACAGTTTTCGCTTCGATACGATATCTTATTACTTATATATTAAAGAAGATAAAGATTGTAGAGATAGCCGGCTCTTGGAAATCGTAATATCAGCTTAAGTTTAACTTGAGATAATTCTGACAGTTTCACTAGAATCTATTTGTATCCATGTATATAAATCTGACTGTACTATCCCATTCCATCCCAATTATTATAATAACTAACATTTGGTATTATATGAATACTCCATATAACCTTAGGTGTGTATTTTTCTATACACAATGTGACCGTCATTGGCATGGAACCTCTAATTGCTAATAATAAAATTGTATGCCTAATTGCTTACGTACAATGCGAATACGCCGTACATATAATTATTCATCTAATGATTTCGTCAACGTTTCCTGTGGTAATGATAGTATTTATTAAGTACTTACTGTAATCAGACTGAACGAAAAAGTTATTCCCAAAGAAGCAAAAACTATGATCTTAATGCATCGAACCTTATTATTATTTTTCCTAAAAAGTAGTAAAACTGGTTACTTATTGATGAAGACATATTAAGCATATACACAGATTCGGTAGGTATGTACAGTGAATATTAATTACATAATTCCAAAATAATATCTTAAACCATAAAATATTCTAGAAATGTCTATGTGGAATAAAATATGTTGTTTTCATCAATTTCACTCCTTCTGAATTTCGTGAAAATAATATTATATAACTTTTTGCAGTCCACGCGTATCCGAACACCATATAGAATTTACACACCGAATTGCTTCTAGGTCAAACAAATTGGTATTTTGCTCACAAATCTAATATTATTTATCTTTGTGTTTTTCTATTTTCCTCGCACATTGCATTCAAATACCTTTACACAGCTTCGGTTGGTTAGTCATGAATGGCATATTTTTAGTAGAAATGTGGGGTTTACACAAATCATATCGATTTGGGTCGTGTGAAATCCCACCTTTATACAAAGGAATGTACTCATATGAATTTCTTACTACTCTGGTATTATTAAAAAAAGGTTTTATATGATTTATGTTATTGTTGTTATAATGTAGTCAATTAATAGAGATTTGCTATATTTTGGAATTATTTTATGATAGCCACTGGAACCTTTAAAATAGAGCAATATATGTATTTTCTAAAACTATAGACGCCAGTCTATAGTTTTCATATTATGTAATCTCTTTATATTATATCATGTATTCATGTTATGAAATTGACATAATTAAGTCGTTTTATTCTTCCTCGTGAATATCTACACAAACACAAAGAAAATTTTCAAAACCATCCTTTTCAGTTGAGAATGTTATATATATTTCGAACAAAAGTTAATGTTTTTGGTAATGATAATTCTATTTGATTATTAGAAACCTCCCTTATAAATATTCATAATATTAATACTAGATTTAAAGACAAACTTGCTGTCCCCAAGTATCGTTTAGAAAAAGTTAATAGGTCTTTTATGGGAATAGGTATAATAATTTACAATAAGATACCAAAAGATGGAATTACCCTTAAATTAATTCAAAACATCTGGTAAATCATATTTACTGAGCAAAGCCTATTACTCACCAAACGATTACTTAAATGACTAGCGTGCATGGCAATAGATGTTTATGCATTGTTCATTGAATTTTCATTTAATGTTAGACATAGACACCTATATAAATAAATACTGTAAATGGCTTTAAAAAAAAATTCAATTGAGTTTCTTGTCGGTTCTTCACAATTGAATCTATATACCGAACTGGACGGTATGGAAAAAAATAAAATTAGAATGTAAAAATCTGACGTTCATAAGCGACTAAAATGTCCTACATGAATAAATGATTTTTGAATTTGAAGTTGAATTTGATACATATATATAAAATTTCATTAAATACATCATGTCTTTCGGAAAAGTTTGGCAACTGATGCATTGTAAGAGAATTTTATATATTATATTTAACCTTGTAGTATAACAATATTCGTATAAATATATACCGTGAAGCTGGCAAACAAGCATCTCAGGCATAACGGAAGGTTTGCTTACAGTCCTAAGAATGCGAAACCAGTCAGGTAAAATAAAAAAGAAAAAGCTGTAGAACTTGCATCTGGCTTGTGACTATTATTGAATATATTCAAAGCTCTACCAACATCGAATAAAATTCAATTCAGTATACACGTATTGTGTTCCATTTTTTACTACTTTTCATCGTCATAGAGACCTTGTATACTCAGTAAAACCCCATGGCGTTCCCGCACTGCACTTTAGTTCTAATATCGTCAAATCGTTCAATCAACTAATTTTAGAAATAATTAGTAATCTACGCCGACTTAACATGAAAATTTTAACTAACTTACACGAAATCTTAACGAATTAAAACTAACTTTACCTCACTTAAACCTTCTTCAGGAATCACTCTATTGATGGATGAGAACCTCACGAATGTTCATTAAGTAGATTTTGAAATTATTGCGGACATACTGACACTCTGTTATAAAACACATATGAAAATATGTATATGGACAACTAGACCACCAATATGCTTATTACCACGTCGATTAATTTACAAAATGACGGTGCCTTTTAACAACCATCCTTATCAGAGACTGACATAGAAACCACTTGATTAACATTTAAATTTATGTTAAAATTATATACTCTACAAGCGTTTGTCTCATTAAATAATATTTCTCATTAAATTATATTACAAGTTTATAAAAGTATTGTGTTTATGATATAAAAATATTTTTTTTAATAGTCAATTTGAGAACTATAAAAAGAGAATAAAACAAAAAAACTATAGATAATTGTAACTCAATTTTCTACACTTTCTTTTTTGTTCTTTTCTAGCTCCGAATTAGACATTAGAATTATTTAGTCGATTATACTATAAATCTTATTCAATTAAATAATAGTATATAAAAAAATGTAAGAAAAAACTAACATCTGGAATACAAATGAGATTGTGAAACAAAATATCGCCTCTACATGTAATAAAATTTATATTGGCGATAACATGTAAAACAAACAAATAACGACAAAATGATATTTACTAATGTATCATCATCAATTATCATGTCGAGTAAAATATAAAATACACACACATAGATACAGTTGAATTTAGAACCTCCTTTCGGAATGCAGTTGATAATCATGCTGCCGCGTACGCAGCAATTACCTCGCTGTTATCCATCGTCCAGTCGATTCCCGATAAACCTATTACGACATTATTATGTATTGTCTATTAATATCATTACCTTGATCAATGGTATATCCGCTATCTAGTTCACCAGCATTGTTGTGCCGACGCTAGTGAAGTGACGCACGCTTGTTGATAGTTTTTTTACGAACATAACTCTAATCTCGATCATAATCGGTTCTATATAATCGAGTCGCGCGGAACACCTCGTTAGTATGACGATTTTTTACCGATCGATATAATCGATGCACGTGGGAGTGGGTACGAGGCGTAGCTCACGATCTGGTTGCCGAGACAACCGCGTCAGTTTTGCTTTGGGTTTACTCCGGTTTGCATATATAATATGCTGCGAATAGTGTTGTAGTCAGTTTGTTGTGTGGATGCGCGAAAATTCACTGCTCGCTTTAATTAGTGCATATGTTAAATAATTTTGATTTGTGTTGCGTTAAAGACCCAAAGGGATCGTTTGAAGACAGTTCACCAAAAATGGCCCAAGTTAATGGGCACCATGTTTCCGCAACATGTCCTTTCAGTAGTGAAAATGTGAACATGAAAGTTGATGACACTCAGAAACCAGTGAAACCTAATCTTCGTGTGAAAGTTCCTCAACCCTTAAGATTAAAAAATTTAATAGGCAACGAAGAGAATTTTGATACGCTACATTCACAGATAGAAGAAGTTGCTAGTTTTGTGAGTACTTTTTTATATTCTTTACTTTTAACTATTAATATTTAAGGAACCGCGGTTGGAATATAAATTTATTTAACAAAAGCAAAGTTTTCCGGCCTTGTATGAAACAAGGTTTACGACTTCAATCGTGAAGTGACTGAACTAAGTTTTCTCAGTCAAATACATATCATAAAATAATAATAGTCATTAAAGAATGTAAATAAAAATATTTCATTGGTTTAAACATTTACATGCTTCATAAATTATAAAATATTAAACTATCTTCTTAATAATAAAGTTTTTTAATGTATAAAATAAATAAACCAAAGATTTAGAAAAAAGTCTATGGATAGAGAAAAATATATTTATCATTTGTGAATCAGAATCTTAAATGTGTAATTTAAAATTCTTTATTAATAGCAGTTTCATTTATTTTCAATTTGTCGCATACTGTACACTATACGTGTTTTAATATACAAGAAATTAACAAGAAACTTTATTTTCATAGTATAAATACATTTAAAAATAAAGCACCTATTTTTCTATCTTTATAAAAATGAAGAGGAGAATATTGAAATATTATATCAACATAGAAAAACCTGGCGTACGAGTATCTGGTTACGACGTGATCTTAAGTGGGATGCATGCTTTTTGATTTTATTAACACCAACTTTATAATTATGTTTGTACAGTGTTTAGTAGCTATAAAGAAGTATAACCAATTGGATAATGATCATGATCATCATTTAACGCAGCCCACGTTGTAACCAACTTTGTCGTTTAGGACAATGTCCATTTCCTCATCTACGGAAAAACGAGTGTCACTCCGTCTATGTACAGAGAGCAATGTAAATACAGGAAACGTTATTTAATGTACTCGTTATGCTTATTAAACTTAAAGATAAATATATTACTAACGGCTATTTATAGATTGTTTAATTATGCCCAAGTCAAATTTATGAATGTATTTTGATTCATATATAATAATTATACGAACGTAGTTCAATTAAACACCCATTTACGCTTCGAGATGTCTTATTGTAACAGACGATTTCTTTTTACAGTAAGCTTTGTAGGAAGAACCTACATAAAGAAAAGGAGACGTACCCTGACCAATAATATTAATTTTCAAAGACGAAGTTATCTTTATTAAAAATTATAGGTTACTTACAATATATGTTACAGGACGAATTAATAACTTGAATGGGTATATAATTATCATTTTAATATGCTGCGAATGCAGTAATGATGCTAGAAACACAGATGTTATGTAAATATATGAAGTCATTAACAAAGTTACGATTCAATTATTTTTTACTACTGTTTATTATGTTTCATGCGGCTAATAAAAAACAATAAACGATGTGCTAAGACATAATATGTAGCGTGAACGGTATTACGCCAAATTAGGGTACATAGATGCGTGGGAAGTTATTAAGAAATACTTTATTGACGTCACATAGTGTATTTGCTATTATTTAGTTATTATGTAACGAGGTCAAAACTATACTATAAGAACATTTCATATAAAACCAGCTGACCTGACAGATGTTGATCTGTATTAATTAAGGCGTTACCTGTTAATTACGTGAAGTTAATATAGTCGTTCAAATTATCAATTTATCCAATTTTCTAAATTTTTTTCTGTAAAGTTTGTTGTTTCTAAAGAACAATGACATTCTCCTACCAGATTTGGCGGGGCAGCGAGAAAAATACGAGCGGTAAAGGTGAGTGTTGACGTATGTCGATGAGTGACCCCTTAAATTTATTCTCGAGTCACAAATCCCGGTAACTGGTCGGAATTTCCCGCTCTGCTACACGATGGACCCGGTCGGAATGCTAAGAAGTTCATCTCATTTCCTTAATTTTTGCCTTTTAGAAAATATACTATAAATAACCATGTAAACATGTGAAAGATATCGGTTCATTTTCAAGTTGACCAAGGAAAATAGAGATTCATATACATGTACATATATAGGTAGATGTGTTTTAATGTAAGTCTGTAACAGATTAGTATTCTTATTGTAACGGTATCCTATGATTCTTATTACGTTATTACATTTGATCCTATTTATATACAACATAAAATACTAATTAGACGAATATTAATTACATGTACCTATACCTATATCACAGATAATATAATATTACATACCTATATCTATGTATATTTGGATTAAAGAAGTACATATGTTACTTCGTATCTTAACCAATCTAGATATTTTGTTTATGAAGACGAAGTCGCGGGCAAGAAGTATAAGTCTATAATTATATTAGATTACTAATCAGTAGATTGATTGAACTATTTTCGTAACAATGGATGTTTATGCACACGCGATGGCAGATGGTACGCCGTCGGTCAAATCGTGAAATTCTTGAACCTGATAGGGACGGGAATATTATTAGCGCCATTGTTATTAATTTAGCTACAATGATTCTCGTGGAAATTGTCACATGCTACTTTAGTTAGTACCTGCTTGGTTATTAGCGACTTCGTACGCAAGACCAATATTATGACTTATTAAGATAGAAAAATAGCTTCTTTATTCTGCAAAGTAATACCAAACAACGATTGCTCAATCTAACGAGGTACCTACTAGAAGGTTGTATGTTACGTGTTTATAATACGTATTAGGATGACAAGAAATAGCAAAAGTATGTATCTTTTCTCATGTTATTAATTTGTTTCATTTTTGTTAAATTAAGGTAGTAATTTGAACGGAAAAAATTTGAAAGTTTTTTTTATATAAGATCACAAATATATCAAGATAGATATTTAAACTGAATCGTACTGAATTTTATTTTTGGCAATCGAAATAAATATGAACCTCTTAGCTACACATATAAGATTGCAATTCGATTTAGCCAATAGAAGCATAATAAATGACTCAATTCCAATAAGGCAGTTGGAGGTATATTATTAGTTATGTAAATACGTTAATGACTGTGTTTTCGAGGTTAAACTGTATTTTGATATTTAGATATATAATAATTTATATCGGCAATCATTTAAAATGTATATATACATACAATATATTATATTAGGGAAACTAAGGAAAAAAGTATATTTATTTCGGGGTTGTCTCCCTATGCACAAGTGATAAGTTGGAGATAAACCCGAAATAAATATATGCAGTTTGTTTCTCGGTTAATGTCACTGGATGCTGTAAAAATATTCTTAAATAAAATCTATTTAAAATATAAATATACATAAAATATGTAGCATACTCTTAACTCTTCAATATATATATGTGCAATATAAAATTTTAGAGCCTACAATTCTACTGTCTCCTGTCGATTATGAAAATATCCAGTTGTGTTGTGCTTTAAAAGTGAGTGTTAGTGAAATTAGACTTTAGTGACATAGAGATCCATACCTCGATTTCCCGGGTATGTCGTAGAATGGATTTTATAGAATTACGAAGTGTATTAGAGAACTGGTTGATACGGAATGTCGCTACTTTAAATGTTAAATATTAAATTCTTGTCCATATTCTTTTGAGTTGGTATAAGATCAGATAGTAATTATATACCATATTATAGACATACTGCCTGCCTATATTATAGACATATTCCCTTTTCCAATTTTAATTCTACTGTTCCTATTATTCAGATCTGTTATAAAAATTCTCAAAATATTTGAAACAATTTTGATATTAAAAAAACAATTTGTGTACGAGTATAGATATACATTGCAGACATTTTCTGCATATATATGGAAATTTATAGTTGACCAGTAATTATCTACTTCATATATATTAAAACGAAATTAAAGGTATATATGATTTAGAGGTTTCCTTGCATTGCAGCATATGATGATGACACGAATTGCTTTGTTCTCCAAAAGCAACTCAATTAAGCATCGAAGAAGTATTTGAGTTTCCGGGACACGATGTCATCATTCATAAAGGGAATATAATAATGACGTTGTATTATGAACGTCGTAACAGACATATTAGAACAATGCATTAGAAAATATCCTTGATATGTCTTCCTAGTAAACGGTAGACCCAATAGAAAAGAAATAAATATTATTTCCTATACACAGACGTCACTAGTGAAACGGAACTGTCAATACCGGTATTAATCATAATACATATTTTGTTGTTTTCCGGTTTGATTAAATGTTGTAGTGAAATTAGAGCAGTCCTTAAGGTACCACATATGTTTTATTGTTTACCTAGCATTTGGGATATTTTTTATTTATTTATTTATAATTAACTAGCGACCCGTCACGGCTTCGTACAAATGTATTACAAAACTTTGAATTTCTCGGCTTATTCTATACTATTACATATAAACTTTTCTCTTGAATCACTCTATCTATTGCTGGAAACTACATTAAAATCAATTGCGTAATTTAAAAGATATAAGTGAATAGACAGTGGCTGCGACTACGTTTTATACTCTGTATATCGTCGTATATCGATTTCATTCATTTATTAACTTTTTTTTCGTTTTTTATGCCATTTAAATATAGAATGTAACAAATATTATTGTCATTATCACATAATGGCTGTGATGTTTTGCTAAATTCTGTCTCGTAATGCAAACCCGTCCGCTGTGACTAATTTGCTTAATGAGCCAAAAGTTGCGGTGATTTAAAATTTAACCAATAGACACATATAAAGGCAAGTTTTAGCTGAATGGCTTCATTCGATTCGTACCCACGGGTTTTTCAATTCAATTGGGTGACGTTTTAACTAAAAATAGTGCTGTACTTGTATCACTAAAACAAGTCACTATATTATTTTCCTTATAATAAAATAATAAATTAATCAGCAATCTTATTTTATATAAAAGGAAACTATGTCTATAAGGCTATATGTCTGCCTTTATTGCATTTGAATATAACAGTTTTGGGTAAACACAAACGTAATCAGTAGCAGACACAGTTGTCGAATGTCGTGACAACGATTTAAAATACAAATACAACTTGTAAAACTCCATATTCGATAACAGAAATATATTTATTCTTCCATTACGTCAACAAACAAACTAAATGTTATCTATCTTTCTAA